AACTGCTTTTGTGTGACTTCTGGAAAACTCTAGAACCTCACTATCCAGTACAACTTTTCTCATTGATGAATTGTTCAGTTCTCATTTTGAATAACAATGTCAAAAATTCACAGCTAGCTCATAATATGAGAAGAATTTGAATTCAGAAAACTTTTCCTCTTTATTTTCAGTCTGAACTATTGTGGCATTAGAATACTTACAAAATAATAATAATAATATTTAATATTTACTGATCTTTTATTTTCTATGCATACACGCTCATTTAAACCTCAGCCTGAGTCTTTTTATACATGCATTAAACTTACATGAATTCAAGTACATGCCATTGTGAGGAAAAAAAAGGAATAGAAAAATAGCATAAATGGTACACATGATAAGTTAAACAATCCAAAGAATATATGCTCTAGAAAGAATGTGAAATTTTATTTTTTTACTTTATTTTTTAAATTTTTATTTTTATTTATACATATTAGTGGGGTACAGAGTTGACTATCAGTATTCGTGTACAGTACGTGATCAAATCAATATTATTAGCATGTTCATCATTACAAATCATAATGTTACCCCATCCCCCTCCCCCTCCCCCTTTCCCACCTCTAAGAACAATAGGTCTCATCTCTCCTTCTGAAAGTTCAGTGTTTTATTAGAATGTGAAATTTGAGTTGTGGTATACCTATACCCCATGTCTGACTAGTTGTGTGGAAGAAGCAATACTTTAGACTGTTTGTTTTGGAATTCGAATGTTAGGACTAGAAGTAACATTAGAGATGAATCAGATTTTCTTGCTTTAACAGATAGCAAAATTGAAACCTAGAGAAATTATGTGATTTGCCCAAGGTTGTATAGCTGGTTAATGGCAGGACTAGGACAGAACTCAAGGTCTCCTGACTTAGATCAGTATTCTTTTCACATATTGTTCAGATTTTTAGAGACTAGTTTTTGAAATATCTTTAACCTATTTCAGGATTTCACACATAAAGCAGCCAAGCCACATAGCAGAAAAGAAAGTAAATTCATAAAATTGTAATTAAATCAGCTTCTTACTCTGAAAGCTGAACAGCTTCAGGGAACAGTGATATATGCTATTCAGTTAATGGACATCCACTCTGAAAAGAAACTTCACAGAAATGTCCCTACCAATGATGGATTTCTAAGTCTGATTATTTTTTCATATCTGATCTGTCTCTTGCCTTCTGTTAGCACAGCCTGTTATAATAAAAGTATGTGAAACTTATGCAGCACATGCAGGTGCATTTTGTGAAATCATTATGTAAGTCTTTATTTGCCCAGGGGATTTTGTACCTTCTGGGAGCTTGTAGGGTAGTGAAGACAATATTCACATCCATGTGTGAGTAAAGTATACAGAAATGACTAAATAAATTCAGCAGTTTAATGTTTTTAAAAAATATGGTATTAATGTAAAATACTTGTCAAAACTGAAGGCCATACCTCTAAGTAAACATGCATATCAATAACATGAAAAATGATATTAATCATAGGCTATCCAAGGCGAGAGATCATATAGTTCATTCATTCTGTAAATATGAATTCAGTCCTTGCTATGTGTTGTGCACTTGCTAATAACTTGAACTGCCAAGACAAGTGAGACAAGGTCCTGGACTAGTTCCAGTTCCATGTGTTCTTGCCTTTTTATTCTAACTTCTCCCACTTTATTTCTTTTGACAGTTACTTTTTACCTTGACTCTACTTTTCATTTCTTAGTCATTCTTTTCAGAGAGTAAATGATGTTTATGTCAGGCTCAGTGCGTACAGAAGTGAATAAGATGTCCTCATTCTTCAGGATCTCATTCTGCTCATTCATTCCTTCATCCACTTAGTGCATTTTTATTATGTACCCACTGTGAACTTGCCACTATTCTATTGTAGAAAATACAGAAGTTAATAAGACTCCCTGTCCTTATTAAGTTTCCTTTCTTCTGGGGATACTGACNATACAGAAGTTAATAAGACTCCCTGTCCTTATTAAGTTTCCTTTCTTCTGGGGATACTGACCATAAATAAGTTAATATAAAATATCATTTTAGGTACCAGTAAGTTCTGGGATGGTTAACAAAGACAGGGAAAAGAAAAGAGAATGCTGTTTTAGATAGGGTGGTTAAGGGAGTCAGTAGTAATGTGAATGACATGGAAAAGTAAGCCATGAGGAGATGGAGAGGGAGATAATAACAGCCAGAGGGAAGAGCAAGTGCAAAGCCCTGCCAGAATCCCAGGATTCTCATGTTGGAGGGGCAAGAAGGAGTCATGGTGTAGTGAGATCGAAGTAGGACATGCAGTTGGACAGATAGCCAGGGACCAAATGTACAGGGCCTTGTAGGCTTAGGCAAGGACTTTGGATTTTACTCTGAGTATGTGAAATAGCATTGGAAAATTTTGAGCAAGTGAATGATGTGTTCTAATTGAGTTTTTTAAAACCACTTTAACGTCTGTGTAGAGAAGTAAGTGAGAGCGAACAAGAATGGAAGCAGTGAGACTAATTAGGAATGTGTTGCAACCATTCAGGTGAGTTCATGGTGGTTCCGAGAGAGGGGAGGTAGCAGTGGAGGTAGTAAGGAGAGTGGGTTGAGGTATATTTTGAAGAATGGCTGATAGAATTTACTGTGTGTTGGCTGTGGGGTTTT